GGGTCTGCCTTCTTTCACCGCGTTCGCTCTAGCGTGGGCCGTGAATAATAGCTGAAAAGTGGGCTGGGGATCTCAATTTTTATGGCGTGTCTTAACGCATCCCGCCGTGAAGGGGCTAAAAGTAGGCCCATGGCCAGATCTGGATCCATGTCTTATGTTTGTTTGTTTGGTTTTTTTTTTTTGGGGGGGGGCAAACAAGTAAGCAGCGTCCCCAATATACTTTTGCAGTAACTGATCTCACCAGTCACAATTAACTCAGAAACAATTTTATGAACAAATTGGCTCTGTCCTAAAAAACAACCTCCATCCAAGACATTTAACATCTTCACTTTCATAAAAGAAGATCAATTAATTAATTTTAAAAATGTAAAAAAAAGGAATCTTTTGGGGGTTGGGCATGGCCCCTGTTGCCCACCCCCCGATCAGCCCTTGAGTAAGCCTAGTCAGCTAGAGTCTAGTGAATTAATGTTAAGATGTTTTTAATTACAGTGACACATAGTAGCCTCATTGCAATCGATTGGAACGACAATGAAAGCAGTCTAAATATGACACGTGTAAAGTAGCGTGGGAAAACCAAAGTACATGCATTATTTAGCTCATGGAACTGCTCAATCGCCCATCATCCCATGTCATGAGCCAAGGGCTGGGTTTTCCCAAGCTGAGACTAAGTAAAGACTGTGCTCAGAGTGTGATCGAGTAGTAAAGCACTTATTTACAATGCAGGCTAGGGGTAGCATCTTAAAGTTAAAGAGGCAGCCAAAAATGCATGCATGTAGCAAACACCACAAAATCCCCCCCCCCATGTAAAAGAAGGCGTATGGACATAACTCGAAGGCATAACTCGTCTTGACACCTGTCCTGCAGACAGGCAAAAAAATTACCAACCCTCGTTTGTTTCACAAATCTTTTAACGTTAATGAATGTTTTTATATACTATCCAAAGAGTTTTGCTTAATGGAATTATGGGCTCAGATAGAATCAATGGGTGACAGACTACCTTCAAACGGCTTGCTAGGAAGGGACAGGCAATTTTTAACAAGGCACGGGAAAGGACAGGCAGATACCTTCGTATCTTAACATTAGTTGAAACCCTGGTAATGGTCTTTTCAAATTGGCAAGAATTTATGCACGTGTTCTGAGTAAATTAAAAATGGAATGTCCTGTGTCATCATCTTATCGCATACCACTGTGGGCGTCGTCAGGATTTTTATCAGTGGACGGGCCAGGACTTTTTTCCAGGTGTGGGTGGGAGGTTAAGCAGTCATCATCAGCAAACTGGAGAAGATTTTGCACAAAATATGTATCTAAGAAGAAAAATGCATAGACTTTCCAAGCGTTCAAAAGATATGGCGTGTTCCACACCATTTAGGAGGCTTAAACCCAATAAGACACCACAGAATAGTGAAAAGAAATGCTACTTGAATGTGAAAATTTGCCTCAAAGTGATGAAATATTTCCATTGTCGACCAATCTTTTGTTCTTGTTTTCACTAATTTTCTCAGCTTTAGAAGTTGGAGACAATGCAAACTTAGACCAGCCAATTTTTTTTTTGCTTCGAATTTCATGAGTCATATTTTATGAGATACCTGCGCAGCGCATTATTCGAATGTTACCTTCATAAAACCGATCCAGCCACATACCGTGCACGGCACATTACGACCAACACTGTTATACGCACGTACGTGTGGGTGCATTGCACAGATGTGCATTATGGTGTACACGTGATTCACAATCATGTATGGTACATGTAACTGGGGGTAAATACTGTGAATTTCAACATCTTCCAGCAATGTCAAAATGGCAAATAGATCTCGGTTTCGAAAATGCTGTCTTTCATTCCCGAAGCACTGAATTCTTACGCTCGCAAGGCCATACGATTAGTGTGGGAATTAACGTAATCGGTGTTGAGTTAGGTCGATGTACAAACGCGTCCAGATGGGAAGAAAAAAAATCTACCGGAAAATTGTCAACAATCTTAAACCTTCACACCTTTCTCCACCAGAGCTTACTTTTTGAAAACTTCAGGAAGCTTCGAATTCTTGTTCAAGCCTTCAAACATCGTACTAAAACATTAACAAACTTGCGGTCAGGAAAAGAGCTTTACACAAAAAGCACTAGTTTTGACCACTCTGGTAGTATTTCTCTATTTTATTTTCACAAAATATGTTAGGAAAAGGCGTAATCTTTCCATGAAAATATTTTGGTATTTTTATTTCCAAAAAGTGAAAATAAGACGTCAGTTTCAGAAATGAAACAGCTGCTTGCCTGGCATGAATTCTCACGACCCTTATTAAGTATGCAAATGACCTAAAAATGGGACATGCGCAGTTCAACATCCCCTCCCCCCTGAAACATACGTGGCCAAAAAGTTTTTGGAATTGCTGCACCCACACTAAAGTAGGCCTAGCACCCAGCCCCGCAAAGAGCTGAGGTAACCCGGCAAGATATGGAACGGAGGGGCACCCCCTAGATGTCCAAACCCTACAGACACTCTGGACTATTATCACCTAATAAAACCCCTAGATGTCTGAAAAGCATACCTGAGATTCCAATATAACAATGACCAACACAAGGAGTACATCTTCGGGAAAACCCCTACAAGAAATGTCAACGGTTTATTTTGCACTCTATGTTGGCTACACGCGGTGCGGCGTCTCCATGTGAGACATGGGTATTCCGAAGTAAGTATCGAACTGGAGCACTGGCTACGGCTCTCCACCGCTGCCTGTTTTTTATCAAAATTAAAAGTCGTAGTCGTAGGAGACGGGACCAGAACACGGCTCCTTCGTCATATGCCCCAGCACGCAATCCCGCGTGTCAACTAAATTGATACACCGGCACGGGTGAAGTTGCCCCCTTATTCAGACCATGGAGAAATAAGAAAACAGACAGAACATAAAATTATGACCTCTCACCGCCCCACGGGTCACTGTACACATTTTTGACGATTTTTGTCGTTAATCATGTAGGCAACTACTACTGAAGGAAAACAAAAATGGAATCCTCTAGCAACGCTGTGGAACTGCACCAGGATGTGGCTGGTTCAGGCAAAACGTGAGTACAAAGCATAAATAAGTTTCTACGAGGGACTGCAAGCGTACTTTTCCTTGCCCAGGTCTTGGATCTGGGAGGCACACAGAAATACAGATACATGTACACCTAAAGCTGACAGGGACTCTGCTCGCCAGTCACACGGCAAACTGAGTCCCTGCGTTTTGCGTAATGCTCGCCCGTGAGCAAATACATGTACAACGAAGTGCACGCTACTAGTGCAGAACCCAATGCCTAAAATCATTATTGTTATCATAGAGTATGTCTATTGCTCCACATGCAACTCGACGTCTTGTTTGAGATCAAAGCGATATTCCTCAGTGACCCATAGAATTGAGAAACCGGTATTTGATTATTTTTGGAACAACAATGGGGTCCATGGTGCACTTCGAACATCTAACAAAAGAAGTTCGGTGCAATAACAACAATGGACTCTCACATAGTGCCCTGTGTTTCTTTTGTTACATGTTAGTTGTGTGCGCGCACAGGCAACTTGCATAAATAATTTATGGCCGACATGATCACTGATCACTGGAATCAGTGTCCAAAGTCGTGATCAGTCAGATTAGAATTGTGCGTCTTCTAGTCACATATCTGCTCAGTCATCGTTCTGCAGCTGAAGTACATTTCCTGGCCCAGAGCTTCATCAATAAAATGTTGAAACAACCTGAAAAATATGCATGCACTTTAGATCAATTCAATTGCACGTATTCTGGATAGTTTAGCTGTTTAAAGGTTAACTGTTCAGTGGCACAACTTTGAAAAACAAACGGTTTGTTCCCAAGGTGATATCACTGCAACAGAACCGAGTTGCCTGTAAAATGGTAAAAGCAAGGGAGATTTTAATGATGAGAGAGGTACACTTTTCATCACATTAAGTTAAAAGGGGTTGCCGAATTGTCTTCGTACAAATCAAGATGAGTAGGTAGTTGCATAAATGTGTACCTAAGAAAGACCTTACTAGGTCAGTCTTTGGGTTTTTTCTTCTTTGCAATATCAATCCTTCACCCATAACGTTCGCTAGGGGCGTGTTAATCGACGAAATGTAAAGCGAATAGAGACTTCTTAGTCTTACAAGTCGCATGCAAGTACGAGGCGCGGACCTTTTGTTTGCACAGAAGTATTATGTGTTGTTCGTCTTGCACACCGTGCAATACATGGCAATTGTGCTCAAAATAGCGCCAATGCTTTTACAACGGATAGGTGATATGGCACTTCTGCGCTGTAATAGCTTTTTTCCCCAACAAAACTGGACAAATATAATATGGGGAATTAACCGAGAATGGGTCGTATCATAAACCACAAGCACTGTGTGTCGGTTTTATGTCGTGGCACCCGACCCCTCGAACTTCTCCTCGAAAAAACACTGTTACGTATCTGACTGGAAGTGAATCTTGAACATAAGAAAGAGAATCTGCTAAAATTTGTTGATACATGTATTTGACTTTTCCCCCAACAGAAATGAAATTAAGGGCTCGGATAAAGTCTTCTTCTCGTAAGTTTCAAATATAATCTTAATTAATGTATGGATATTCATTTCAACCTTTTCTCTAATTTCTGTTGAAGATGAGCAAGTTATGAAACTTTTAATTCAATTCTTGTAAATCATCCTTCTGTCCCATATAACCTGATTTTTTATTTTCTCTTGTCCCGTTTTAAGACCTTTTGCGGATGCTAATTTGCACATTTTGGAATCAAAGTACAAGTCTGATGCCTTCCAACTTCCAAGGCAGAAACCTGCCCTGTTACACTTACAGCTATTTCTCTATTTTTGCAGTTGCCAGAGCTTTTCTGATTTTGGTTACTTTGGAATTTTGGAATGTTTTGGAAAAATTATTCCAGTGAGCAAATGTTACGTTGACAATATCATCGGAAAACCCCGTAAAATCAACAGGGTCCTTTTTCAACGACCTTTGCCCCCACATACCAGTGAAAACCACTGGCAGCTAAATGTTGGAATACCTTAAAAAGTGCACTGATTACTGAGCATAGGCCTACCCAAAAGAGATTACGCTGAGGTGGAAAAAAAATGAAAAACGCATTCCCAAGTATGATTAACACCACGGTCCCTGTAATTTTTTTAGTACACGTACCATGATAAAAGATGACCAACATGTACGTTTTAAGTAGCAGGATAACTGTTATCACGGTATTTCAGTAAAAAGACACAAAATGGAAGTCCGTTTTGTTTTAAATATACATGTAGGCATGAACAAAATAACTATCACATATTTGACACTTGTGGCATTTCATTTGCAGGTCTTACGCTCATGTCAACATTCACGAAAACATGGTACGAGATGAGGCGAGGACCCAAGGCTACAGGTGCGAATAACTGGGTCTAATAGCAAGGAACTGCTTCCATATGCACAAACAGTCAAAATTATGCAAAGAACGAGAGCAATCGTATTATTTTAAGAAACTTTCCTGAGGAGGCGCGGGTGGAATGTTCTATTCACCTCACGGAATTATTTCTTCCCATCATCAGGTCGGGGACCAAACCACAAACTAGCGACGACGCCAGACAACGCATACGCCGCTCGTTTGTGCAACGATGACGTAATTTTTGAACTATTTCTAGATCACGGTTCGCAGATAACATCGATCTCTTTATCGGCTAGAAACTTCAAAACAAATTCCTCCGATTGATCAACTTTACAGGAAACATGCTACCCAAGATCTAAATGAAACTTTCCTTGCATTTGTTATCTCTAAAAGTGGATCGAGGAGAGTTTTTGGTCAAATCTAGCACTGGATGTGTCAAATTCGGTTGGCAGGCGAGTCCAACTCTGCCGATAAAAACGTTTACGCGAAAAAAATGAAGCTTTGCCGAAGTTTACTTTATGCATGAAAGTTGCCATTATAAATTTTCATCGATTGACCGTGGCAGGTTTTAAGTTTACCGTGGCGATTTTCCAAAATAGCGATCGAAAACAATTTTGTCATAGACTCCAATGGTAACAGCAACGGTGGCCATGTTGGCTGCCGGCATTTCAAATCCAGATATTTTCCCGAAATTACATCATTATCACGTGACCTGATGAAAATGACGTCATCGCCGCTTGAACTAGGGACATAATCAGAAACTAGGGACGTCGCTAAATTGTGGTTTGGTCCCCGACCTGATTATGTATTCATTATTTCCTTTGTGCAATACATGAATAAATTGTCTTGCCTTTTACTGTCGCGCTCGTAGTACAACTTCTTATCCACGTAAAGAACCACGACTTTGCCTAATGCGTGCGCAGCGCAGTTCGACAGCATGAAACAGTCACCGTTGTTTATTGAAATGTATGTTAAATGGTCACGTTGAACATACCGAGTTATTCAACGGCACACGTGATCAACCCAGTAATCAGATGACGGATATTAATGTAGGGGCTGTGTAAAGCAAACTACTGTAAATAATATTGATTAGTCTCCACCGTAATGAACATTAGCCTGTAACCTGTTTTAGCTGTGCCTAGTTTAAGTTGGCCTTTTGTGCCGTGTGTTCTTTTGCCTTGCCTTGCCATATTGCCCGCCTTAGCACCTGCGTCACCCCATTTCTGATTGTTGTTCATTTTGCTTACGGCATTATGGTGTTACGATTTCTGACGCTAGAGATGCGTAAGTCTTTGCTGCGGTGGACGGTTTGGATTTGTCTGGTTTGTGCATAACTACCGGGTGCATGCAGACTTAGATGGGAAAAAAAATCTACGAAATAACTTGGTGTATTTCTAAATAGTTCGGAAGATTCCTTTTTATTGTGGCTTAGTCCCGTGTTGGCCAAGACCATCAGCGAAGAAGACAAAACAACACGTAACCTTTTCTTGGTATTTCTCTATCCGCAGGCAAGCTATCATGCAGTGTAGCGACCTGATCAAAGGAAAAGTGGTCGTGGATATCGGATGTGGAACAGGTACATTCTGTTTCTACACATGAAAAGTATATTCTCTGAAGTATTTGAGCCTTTAATATACTTGAAATTGTACTTAAAATGCTATCACCAATCCTGTCATTTTTACTAACAAAATATATCTATTTCTCACAAAAAATAGGAATATTAAGCTGCTTCTGTGCAAAAGCCGGTGCCAGAAAAGGTGAGTTTTAGTATCCAGATGAACACATGTAGGGCCTAAATAGAAGAGGTTTGAGGTATGCATCGTATTAACAGTGTTCCTGCTTGTAAAAAGAGTCGCTGAATATTTTCTGCTCAGCGTCTGTCGTTGGTCGGAGTGCTTTGGTGTGAAATTAAGATAGCAAAGACCATGGCTGCCAACTGTAATAAATCCTTCGGCGGCCATTGGGGGGGGTATGTGACTTTGTTCCACTGGAATCTGCACAAGCAGACTTTGGTGCAGTCTTCTTTTGTTTTTATATTTCGTAGCAGTTGGCTGCTGCATAAGACAGTATTTCACCAACTGTTAGAAGAAGAAAAAAAGAAAAAGAAGACAAACAATCTGCACACATACCACACAATCCATCCTTCCACGACCCCTTCCTTCTATTCACCTGAAACCCTAGTGTACGGCATCGACGCCAGCTCTATTATTGAGCAGGCAAAGCAAGTAGTTCGGGAGAATAACCTGGAGAGCGTAGTCGAGTTGATCAACGGCAAGGCCGAGGTGGTAGATTTGCCTGAGAAAGCTGATATTCTCGTCAGTGAATGGATGGTAATGTGAATTTAAAGATTTTTTTTTAAATTAATTTCCTTATTTGTGGGTGCTTCAATACGGACGATTCAACTTTCAGGGATCGTTAAAAAGGGCGAGAGATGATCGGAATAGTGGAGGAATAAATTGACTTCACCAGATGCTGATTTCAGACGATCTAGCCCAGGCAAAGTTGTCCAGTGAGACGATGCCAAATCTGAGTTGGGCATAGACGCTAAAGCCTTACACCAAAAGCGTTTCTGTTGAAAGACTTGACGGGGGCATTCATGTTTGATTTTGTCGTAAAAACCAGCTCTGAATATTAATCATTAGCGGATTTGGCAAATGCGTTTTGAGTGTAAAAGCCATTTTAAATTCTGAGTTGGGCATAGACACTAAAGCCTTAGGCTACACCAAAAGCGTTTCTGTTGAAAGACTTGACGGGGGCATTCATGTTTGATTTTGTCGTAAAAACCAGCTCTGAATATTAATCATTAGCGGATTTGGCAAATGCGTTTTGAGTGTAAAAGCCATTTTAAAGAAAGTCACTTCCCTGTTTTGGAAATGATAGTGCTTTCAAATTAAGCACGATGAGCTTGTCGTTGATAGGCTGCGTGGCTTTGTCAGCGACGACGTAGAAAGGCTGTCACGTTCCGAAGGCAGTAAATAAATAAAAAAGTAGAATGTTTAAGAAGTATACGATGTATATCGGCGAGTTGTGGGTTTGACTTCCGGTCGCCTCAACATCTTTTGATTTTGCGAAAATAAATGCGTAAAAGAAAACACTGTAGGCCTCTATCTTGTTGCGTTCTCTTTTGGCAGGGCAATTTTTTGTTCTTTGAGGGTATGCTGAACTCTGTTGTAGTGGCAAGAGACCGATTTCTGAAGAAGGTGAGTTCGATTCTCGAAAACAACTTCTCATTTTGAACTATGTTGGCAGACCAGAGGTATAGTTGGGGGCGCAACGAGTTGTTTGACCACTGATATACTTCTCACACGAGGTGCAGTCCCACTCGAACGACCCATGCCAAATGGCCTGTGGTCAAACGAGTTACTGATGTACTTGTCACCAGTACATACACGAGGTGCAGTCTAACTCGAACGACCCATGCCGAATTCTCGAGCGAAATCTTCACCGTCTATCACGTTTTTGCCTTGGAGTACTGTACTTCTCATGGTGCGTGCGGATGCGTTCATGGTGCTTGCCACCTCGCACAACCACGGAGCTATGATACAGACAGTTCCATGATACATCTTTTTTTTCTCATATTGCGATAACCAGCGTTGCGATCATGCCTCGGTGACATAACTTTCCTCCCCGAATAATTCTTTATTTTACTAGAGAGCAAGCAATAAATGTTTCAGCTCCATATGATTTCACGTCAAAATTATTTCACATCAAAATTATTTTTGAAATACTGCCACCCGAAAAAACTAACTTTCTAAAACGTAAACTAACCAGATAGCCGCTTCGTAGTTATATTTCATAAAGGAACACATTTCACTCGAATTGAGCAAAATACTATTCCGGCCAGAGCTTTCTCTCTTACCGGGCAGCATTTTTTTTCTAATTTGCATGGCCTATCTATCAAATAGACGCCTAATACGATACAACAAAGGTCGTCGTAGACGAAGCCATAGTTCTAATCCAATTTTGGTTGTGTCCAGGGTGGATTAATTCTTCCCGGCAAATGTACTCTCTTTGTTTCGCCTGTGGATTGCCGTAAGCTCTACGAAAGAAGGTGAGAAGCTAGACATGCTGATGTTACTTATTATTTCCTATCGCATTTGAACCAGTTATGGTCATGGCTGTATATAGAGGGAGTACCGCCATCTTCAGACTTTGGAACCAAAGTGGCTGTTCATTACAGCATGGAATTGTGGGCCTCGAGCTGCACCAAGAAAGAGTGTTATTTTCTTAGCAACAAAGGCTCCTTTGGTCGGAACTGAACCTCGCGTAGTTCACGAACGACCAGGAAATGCACGCGTAACGGTTTCATCGCTACCAACAAATTGAACACTCCCCACCAACGCGGCTTATTCAACCGATGAGGGCGTGCTTCTGCTGGAGGTGGATTGTGTGCTAATTTATTGATTGTATGCACTGACGTATAATCCTTCAACAACTGAGACACGCCCAATGTCTCTATAAACAGCTCTGGTCATGGACCTTCAGTCACAGTATTAGGCCAGTGTCGCGTGGGTGCTTTAAAAAGTAAAATAATTTTGGCCTCTTCTTGTAAAATGTATGTAATGAAAAACTCAATTTACGAATACTATAACAAGACGTACACATACACCAAGAAGAATTGTTTGGTTGTATTCCTAGTACCCTCAGAAGTATAGAGGTGTACCAGAAGGGGGGCATGTGGCCTAGTGGTTAGGGTTTGTAGCTCCTGATCACAGGGTCAGAGGTTCCAATCCATCTGGTGGCCGCATGTTGCGATCAAGGGCAAGCCACTGTCCCTAAGTGCCTCTTTCCACCCAGGAGTAATTATGTACTTGTGAAGACAGATTTGGTTATGTTAGCAGTGTGCGCCTGATGGGGCTGCATCAGCTAGTATACTCCCCAGGCAGCTGAGATGGTTTCAGGAGTGTTCAGTTGTTGTGAGCCCAATGTGCAGGGATAATGATGAGCCTTGAGCACCCAGCAGGGTGGATATGTGCGCAATATAAGACATCGGTATTATTGTAATTATTTAAAAAGTCGTCCTGTTTTTGAGTAAACGATCGTTACGAATTCTCTTCATGAAGTGTCACTCCTTTTTGTTGTTTTTTCCTTGTCTAGGATTGACTTTTGGTCAAGCACGAAGAAGACTTACGACCTGAGTATGGAATGCATGATTCCCTTCGCTAAGAAATGTCTTCTTGGTAAGTAACGAGGAAGAAAGCACGTAAATAAGATGTGAAACAGTATCAGGCCTGCCTTCCATAAGTTGTTAAGTATATTCAGATAAAACGTATCATTTTGTGTGCTGGTTTTTGCCGTTTATATGCGCTGTAAGTTGCTAACTAGTCGAAAAGCAGAGCTCTCTCGTAATTTGTCAATTTTGTTTTACAAATTTAGTTAATGTATTGTTTTCATTTCATGTTCCACGGTAACACAGATTTTCCCTTGCAGTTGTCTACGTCCGTTTAAGTGCATTTTCTCGATTTTTTAAATGACTACACCCTCAGATTCCTGACCATTTCAAGCATTGTTGTTAGGATTCCTGCAAACCTTGCTCGCTGACTAGCTTGTTTTACATCAACAAATAAAGTTTTGAAAATGTACCACATCAAACATAAAACCAAACGATATAAAACAAGGAAAGGGGCCCCTCAAAATCAGAAACGATAAAATAAAAAAATTGAGGGGACAAAAAATGGAAGTATTCAGGACTGTTAGGTTTAAAATAAAAATGCACCCATAGGATTGTGCCCAATTCAAAGATTGGAAACAAAGAAAATTGGGAATGATGCATTCAAGAGTTTTATTGAGAAGTCTCTAATTTGATTTTTAATATACAGGCTCTGTGCGCAGAGAGGACATTCCAAGTGAAAGTGTCATCGGCCCTGCTCAGCCACTCTACGACCTTGACGTAAACACTGTGACCCTCAAGGGTCTGGACCTTGTCAAGGTAGGAAGCTGTACTTGGTGCTTTGCTGGGGTCCATTCAGTTGACACAAACAAGAGGTAACGGAATTCCACCCTGTAAAACATATCGTTCACTCGGTGGTTTCTTCTGGGACCGTTTAAGCCGAGGGAGCACCAACCAGCGAGGTAGGGTGACGAATATATGCTTAGAAACCCGAGCGATCTTTCAAAGATACGGCGTTGGGACCTGGGAAAGGGGCATTCGTTCATCGAGCCTTTTATTCTTCGTTTGGGGCGGAAGAGTTACTTTTGCCTTCTAGAAGGTCTTCTTGATCATAGCTTTAGATAGTATAAAGAAGTTTGTTTTCCTCTCCCAATTCTGCCTAGAGGGACATTGAAGGACACAGGTGTCTCTTTGCCATTGCCAACTATAATTTCACCACTGGTCAGGATAAGAAACTGCATGTGTGAAGCATAACTCCGAATCTTCACCAAATTTCATTTGAGTTAATTAATGAATATGTATATTGCACATGTTACAAGTGCCCACTGTCAATACATTTGGGCGATCTAACTCCTGAGGTGGTGCATTTACTCAACCATTTCTATCTTCAGGGGGACTTTCAGGTGACATGCGACAGGTCCACTAGCCTCACTGGCTTTGCCACCTGGTTCGATGCTTACTTCGAGGCCCCTGGCAAGGACACCAAGGTTTTGTCGACGTCCCCGTTCTCTACGTGAGTGGGCTAAAATGAACTTTGTGATGACTGGTGCAAAAAGCACTTGAAATTGGGTCTTACGCTATGACAGTGAATAACTCCTGACCAAAGTAATATTTCAGATGATGTTGAAACCTTCTGTCATCCCTCCCATGTCTGGTACAATGTGTTATGCGGGAGTTAGCTGCATTATGTTAAAAAATCTTGACAGTGTGCTATTTTGGGCCCAATTCTGTGGTTCTGCTAATCAAGGAATTCTGTGGTCATGATCATAATTCTCTTCTTCCATAACTGACACCGACAGGTTTCGCTGCTGGGACTGAATCGCTCATGGCTAGGCCGTGAATACGCTGCATTTGACCTGTCGCAGTAGAACTGTGTCATTGCAGCTTGTCCAATTATATAATGTACTAAATCAAATGGACGAGAGTCGCGCAATATCTGAGACAAACAAGCCCCAATGTACAAATTCCATAGATGTGTCTGAGGGGGCATAGCTATTTGCAAACGGCGATAAGCCAATTTGAACTTTATTTAATAATTTTGAAAAGTTCCCACCACCTCTTTTGGTGGTCTTTTCACTTTTCTTTATAGCCTTGTTGCTACCCAGTATTTGCCGCGTGTAATTGGTCGGTTGTTAGTCTTGAATATGCATTGCGATATGATACCGAAAATGAGTTGTTCATCCTTCTGCCCAATCAGCCGAACTCACTGGAACCAGGCTGTTCTTTACCGTGACGAAGGCATTCCTGTTAAGAAAGGTGACGTCATCCAAGGGAGCATGACTCTCACTCCAGCGGACCTGAATGAGAGGTATTGGCTTATGTCGTTTCATATACTGGGCTCAGATACAACTTCTCAGTCACATTATGAATAGTGCAAATGTGGACTTTTCCATTGAAATCCCATTTCTGTGGAATGAAACTGGATCACTTGGATTTCTATAAAAGGCTAAACCTTCCTGTCTGAGTCCGACCCCCAGCTCAGATTGAAGTTTAAATATTTGCCTCTTTACCCGGTAATTAAATGTGGTGGTGTTAATGCGTGTATTATATGGCCGTTGACGTTTGCTTGCCCTAATGTAAAATGGATTCTTGCGCTCATTCAGGCCACAAAGTGAAAAAAACCCTGAGTATTCAAATAAGTCTTACCTCCTTAAAAGAGCCCCTAGTACCTGGTGCTAACATTCATGGGTATCAATCTGTCGTCAGGCACTTGGATATCAAACTGAGCTACCAGATTGGAGATGGCCAACGGGAAGAGAAGATGTACAACACCTGGCAGACACCGGGGCCCGTCGAGATGTATTAGGCCACACCAGGTTGTACTTTCCCATCGAGTAGAGTTGGACAGATCTGAAACTTTATGCTTGTATTGTTTTATGGCAAAATAGGGTACTCGAGGCTCACCGGTGGTATTTATCGATCAGTCCGGGCAATGCCAAGCATAAGACTTGAGAATGTTGTGAGCTTTCATTTAAACTCAACATTATTCTACGATAGAGGGAGCTTTCCACAGTCCACGTGCGTTTATCATCGGTCTGGGCAAGTCCGAGCGACGACTATGAATTACGACTAGAAATTGATTGTCATTTATTTTAGACGTAAGTCTTGTGGCAAGGAGGATCAGTGGTTATCAATATTTGTCTTTTCGTAATTAAGTGCCTACGGAACAATTAACATAGAATATTGTTCTGTTTAGGCGGTAGAGACCATGAAAGCAACGAGAGATGCACCCAACTACAAAATGTGAGAGATTTCGGAATATCGTTTGACTCACAGCGGTTCAGATGGCACTGTATCGCTCATTTGTGCTGGTCGAAAGCAGTCGACCATTGCAGTGGTCGAACTACTGATCTTTCTTTTATATTATTAAGAGTGACCACCGAAGTAAAATTTAAAATAAGAATAATGATTGGCGGCAGTTTGGGGTTTAAAATACACATTTACTCTGTCCGTGTTCCAAGGAGAGGGCGGTTTCATTCGTGTTTCAGTTTTTGAGACGCTTTGTGAATTCTTCTTGTATTTCTGCATTCCGTCAGTCACATCATTGGCTAAACACTATTTGGCAAAAGCTGCAACTGCGCCGTTGCAAGAGAAAGGTCTTGGATGTAGTTCGTACACGCTCAGTCGTATTGTGCAGACGCCTTGCATGAAAGATGACTTTGCTGCCCTCTGTGGGTCATCTCACGTTGTTTAAAGCATCTGTTTAAAGTGATTTTTCTATTTCCCCCATTTGAAATTTCCGTTTATCCAGAAATGATGTTGCGCAACGTTTTGAATTGATTTGGTAATTTTAACTAATTGAGTATTCTTTATTCTTTTTAGGTATTCCGTTTAGACAAGGTTTCATTTGTTAGATAATTTCTAAGCTGAGTTTCAAATAACAAATGGAAGTTTTAGTATTGTGATAAATTTGATTGTAAAAAAATACCCAAAATGATACCTTTTTAATGAGATATTCCGATAGGGTCGTGAACAAACTTGTCGTCCTTGAACCTCAAACAAACCTAACTCGACCAAACTTCGAAGTTTTAACTGGAGAATAACTATCAAGCTATCCAACACGCAATGTAAAATAATTTTGCTATAAAATGTTTCCCTCGAATCTCGAATGTCTCCCTGTCAATGTTTGCTATTTTACCGCAGTGTGTCTCTTAAATCACAGCTGGGACAATGTATCTAAAACTGTTTACACACTTAGCCCGACAGGACTTCTACAACTGAGAGCCGTATCGGTTCCGTGCGTAGTGTTCGGCAGTGATGGTGGTAGCGTGCATGACAATGTCACACAAATACTCCTCCAATCGTTTCAGGTTTATATTTATAATGCTTTGGCGTTCTGGCATTGTTTATCATCAAACGTAGATTGTCATTTCATTTCAAGCTATATCGTTGCTGAATCCAATGCGAATAATGTATTGATTTATGACAACCTCAATGTAACACATTGGAGACATGGATCCCTATGTTTTATTTTGTACTTTGAGCATCCATATTCCGCACTGCCCGCGATACACACGACAATTCGATAGCCGTTCCGTCACATTACAGACCGGTGATGAAGACAGGACTCTTAAGCGCCCACTATAACACATACTCACTGCAAAACTGATATTAGAATCAAAGCTTTACTCCCTGAGGAGTGAGTTGTCCAAATTCTTGAAGCCTACCCCAATAAAGTACCGGTGTTATGTGGCAAACAAGTGTTCAAAAATGGGATCTACCTCCGTAGAGAATACAAATGAATGACGATTTTTCTTGTTAATTAAACTTTAATAAACCATTGACAGTTGATCTTTAGGAAGGTATATAAATGATGAATGTCTGCTTAAGAGGATTGTTCAATCTAATTTTATCAAGCAAGCCCTTAAAAGCTGCTCTTGATAAATGCATGCACACAGTAAGGACATGAATTGATAATAGGCCTACACATGTATTTCACTAATTATGCCATGAGATTCTAGATCATTGCATCAAGGTGAACAATCGTAACATAATATTTTGGAATGTAGCATAAATAACTAAATAATGACTATTGAAAATTGAAAATAAAGAAAGATAACAATATGGTAAGTTGCCAAAAAAGTTGTCATTGCTGTATGGCAACGAGAACACAACATTTAGCATCTCATGAAAATGAAATCGTCGAATTTTATTATTTTGTCATCTCCATGTGTGTAATTATTGTAACAGGATGGGAAATATACTTGGAAGAACAATGTGATCTCTAACCACGGGTGAGATGCAGGCACTGCATCAAGGTCAACAATTTAAATGACTGGCTCTTCATATAGGATTGCACGTCAATTCCACGTCAGTGGATAGAGTGATCATTTGATTTTTTTTTTAGTTTCTGCAGCGTCCCCCATCGTCTCAGCTCTCTGCATCTCCTTTTCTAAGTCAGCTGTGTTCTTACCGAACACAATTACCACGAACAAACCAGAGAAAGACTGAACAGCCCTCTCAGCGTACAAGGAGTCAAATCGAATTCCTGATTGCATTTCAACTCGCATTCCACTCGACCTTCCTCGTTTTGGGCTCGCCCAATAAACGCTGTCAGTTGCCAGTCACTACCGGTTCGCCAGCATGCACCACACGCCGAACCGTACACGAGCAAACGGTGAACATCATCCCGTTAATTGCACTGCTCGCTGATCCTCGTAATATACGAGCACGGCTCATCAAGCCTGCGAATTTAGCAGTCATCCATTCATAAATACGGGGGACGCAGCGGGAGAGCTGCGCGGGCGGCCGGTCGCACGTTGTATAACGCCAGCGGGCATTTATCGCCGTGTAAGGGTGATAATCAGTGTACACTTGGTAGTGCCGAGCATTTTGCCGAGTGCTTGATTGTAGTCACGGTGTGCGCGATCACATGCTCCGGACCTGTAGTGCAGTATTTCTAGTGCTTGAGTGTTCATTACACAAGATATATCTCTCCATATATAAGTGAGCACAAACCGCGAACGAAGTTCTTTTTTGAGACTGCATCGAATTCTTTATGCTGTGCATAAAAGATAAGTCTGGGACATGGAAAGACCAGAGTCGTTTATTGTTCCCGCCCGCCGGTCCCAGTGGCTGGTAAGCGCTTTGGCTTACGCATTCGGTCTTGACCAAGGCATCGAAAATGAAGTCGTCGTTCTTGCCACTGGCATTGACCAGTACATCCAGGAAATTTTCCATCACCTGGACCTACTGGGCAAGGACCGGGTGTCCATCTCAGACTTCCAACTTCTGTGCGAGGTGATTGGTTGTCCAGACTGCGGCAGGAGTCCAGCGGCCGAGGAGCCGGGGGGAATCGCAGAACTGACATTCAAAGAGTTTCATTCCAGACTGGTGCAGTGCTTTATAGAAGAAGAGACCGAGGATTACTTTTCCAGGAGATGGGACAGTCAGGGGAAGTTTGTGGAAGCAGAAGTCCGTGTCTTGCCCCGGAGTGGACTAAGCATACGCACCATGTGCACGGAGTGCTTCCAAAAGCGACCGGTGACAGAGATCTACCATTCTGTCATGTTCAAGCAGGGCAAGCCTTGCACTCCCGGTGACGACACGTCAGAGGCAGTTACTCCAACCCTGAATGGTACACCCTTGGAGGGCCTGAACAGTTCGGGGACTTCTGATTCTGCCGAATGCCGGTGTACAAGACAAGAAATCAGTACAAGAAATCAGCGAGAAGTGATGAAGCTGCAGCAGGAAAACGACGGCCTCAGAGAGATCATTGAAGACATGCGGCAGGCCCTGCAGAGCAGCGATGCACGCCACCTGGCCCTGTTGGTGTCCCTCCGCAAGATGCAGATGGCGATGAAGGACGACCACCAGGTTTTCCCACCGCTGCCACCAAAGCTCCCTGGACATTCCTTCATACGGCCGCAGAATGCAGTCACCTTGTCGCGAGAGCTGAGCCGTCTCCGGGACGATCGAGACAGGCAACTGGAGGAGGCAATCCGGTACACGCAGTCCTTGGAAGCAGATCTTTGGCAATCGAGAAGGGACCAGGTCCACCTGGGTCAAGCCAGGTCGTTGCTGTTGGGTCAGCGGCAGTCGCTGGCTCAGCGTCTGTGCTCTACCAGGGAAACACTTAGCCGGGGTCTGGAGAGGGTCCGTGAGCTAGAGAAGCAAATAGAGGGGATGGAGGACGTGCAGACCAAAGCAAAACAGCTGGCTGAATGGAAGCAACGCCACAGGTAAGATTTCCATCTTTAAGGATGTTATAAAGGGCGTACCAATTTAGAGACAGGTTTTGAGGATACAACTTAGCTAAACAGCCGCACTGGTCGTTTTTAAAGGGAGGGGGCTAGAAACTAAAAGCAGTTGGAAGAATTAACATTTTACCGACTGAGATGTTTATTGTCACACGTTTTTAATGGCCTAGTTGCCAGGATCAAAACCATAATCCACATAGCCATTACGTATTGTGTTCGTAGATTTGATCAGCTATATGTTGATCAGCAATAAATACCAGGTACCTATTTATAGCTTTGCAGTATCATTGATAATCATTAATATAATGTTGACTTGTTATCTCCTCTTTTCTGTAATATTCTTGGACTTAAAACCAAGCAGTCAATTGTTTTAAAACAGAGAAGTTTATGGTAAACTCCCTCCATGTTTTCTGACCTAAAGGTCTTTTTTTCGTGGTTCATAGTTGTCTAAGTATTTGACAATACGTCAAGGAGCAACCCTTTCTTGGACATGCTTTCAATGATCAAATTTTGGGTAGCGGTTTAACACCTGTAAATTTCGTTATAATATCTTCGCTGAATGACATCAAAGCAACAGCGCCCCCAGTTGTCTGAAAATAAGAGATTACACGTTTCAGTGTAGAGGTCATACAGTTTTCATACAAAGACGAGTATTTTGCAGAAAATGTACATCTAAGAGAAGTTACTTGATAGACCCTCTACACTTTACGTGAAGAGCCTCGTATACTTACTGGAAGGTTTGCGAAGTCAATCAGTGGTGGAAACAAATATTAAAGGTGTGAATTAATACAACTCAAGTTGTGTAGGTCCAGAGTATCGTCACTTATTGTAGAAACTTCATAAATAGCACTGAAACTGGCGTTTCTCAGCCTATACCCGTTTTTAGACAAGAATCAACGTTTGCAAGGTATCATTGTCCAAAGCGTCCAAAGAAATTCAGTGACCGTAGAGCTGAGGGCTGCCGTAATATTCCGTGCTGCCTCAAAATGTATATTCCGACAGAGTGGAAGCAATAAGCAGGAGCTTTGAAATTAATTGTTCCGTCGTCTTTAACAAGATAACTTTATCTTGTATTCAGGAAATGGAAGCTTTATTTCCCGCTTCCGACATATGCTGCTTTTGGCTCACATGGCTGAGTCACTGACGTAAAAAGCCACTGCACCACCATGTTCTCTCTTGAGTTGAGAAGTGTTGCCTTAGTTTGTCGTCTCGTCTCCTCTGATTTCACCCCAAACAAATTCAGCCTCACTTGCAACATCTTTATCCAATATCGTCAGACCGTCGGCGTAAGAATCGGTCGGGTAGCCCCTGTGGTGCTACTGAGTATGACTGAGTGTGGCACTTACTCCGTGGAGGAATGGAGGACACTTTTTCTGTTGAGTTGGGAAAGATTGGTCTTGGAAAGACGCAATTATTATTAATGATTGATAGCTTCATTTAGTTTGGAGGTCCTTTAGAATAATTTTGCACAATGTAAATCAATAGGAACCCCACAGCATTTTTCACCATGGAGTATCCACTTCCATCAGGATGCCAAACTTAGTGATACATCAAAACAAAAAGGTCCATTTGACTTTCGAATACAAATGAAAGCTCAAAAAGTGGCTCTGGCAGCTTAAGACTCATTTTCACAGAGTAGGTCACAATTTTGGTCAGCGTGCTTTGGTCGCCATCGGGCGGTAACTTTCATCTGAGTCTCGGCGTTTCCCTTTTGAAGATCAACGCCAGCTCTGCCTTATTGGAACCAACTTTCTCTTTATGAATTCTTTATTCCTCTTCTGTCTTGTCAAAGCCCCAAATCCTTTCATTGAGCACAGAGAGCAAGATTGCCTCACGTTTACAGGTTTGAAATTACGGCAATAAGGTATTTTCCCTTCAATTCCTACAGTTTTAAATGGCCGGATGGGGATTGTACATAATGTGGTTTTAGCGCGTAAGACACAAGAAATTAACAGTGTCAGGACGGTCAGTTAAGCGTGCAAAGTAGAAATATCCCTTTCCTTTCAAAAATGAGCGAGAAACGCATTTGTGTTTTTCTGTCAGACGAACATGAACTGAATGCCTTTAAGCACTTATGGAGCGTGAAAGATTGCACACAACAGACAGTTAATTATTCCGGTTCGATTGGAACACACACGAAGTACTAGAGTGCTTTCCCGCCGAAAAGAACTAGGGGAAAACACAACTCCTTTATGGCTTTATGCCCGCGGGTGGACCACATTAAACGTGGCCGAAAGCCCACCAAAAGTACAGTGAACGATGAATAAATTCCCTTCAAAGACTGATCATGTGTGCTGCTTTCGTGGTGGTTATTAGTGGCCGTTGCGCCGTAGGATGGCCTATATATTGTGATATTTTCTGAAAAATACTCAGACAAAATAAACAAATTAAAAGAAGCAAGCCTGGGACAACGCCAACTTTATAAACCACAAGGCTTTGGAAACGTCATCTATAACGAAATAAGCTTTGCAACAATCTCGATGTAAACTTAACAATTTGCTTTGCTTTGGGATTGGTCGTGTATTAATACCGGGCAGTGTTGATTTAACACCGTGTAATGCCACCCCTGATAACATGAAACATCTGAAGGAATTTGGCTGCAGTTGTGAGAGAAAATATGTACCGTGAAGAGAGTTATTCTTGGTCACTTGGAAATCTGTTCCTTATCCATAGTCTACTCATAATCTGAAGGAACCTGACTAGAATTGTAACAAAATGTAACTTGGGAGTTTTTTCATATCCTCGAAATCTGAGTTTATGCCCACAGTCACCTGGAACCAAAATGCATGAGCACGATCGTACCCAGGAGCTAAGGAATGTACCATCTAATAGCTTAACGGACAGACTATTGATAAGGGAAGATCATGGATTCTTGAAAAAAAATGGATTGCCCGAAAAGCAAACATTTTCGCCACACGCGGCCGGCAGCTCTTTTGATGGTGCAGTTTGCGTCGCGTGATTCGGCTTTCACGATGATTCGTGTTGACTCAAGAAAAAAACAATGAAAAGTGAAGTTGGCATTAAAACGGGACAGACAAACATAGGTATCGCTTTCATACCGTAAGCGGTGTGAAATGATCATGATCCGATGGCCGCTTTAACGAGCACGAATCCCCCTGTTAAGATGTCTTCGGTAATAGCAGTCACAACAACCAGCAAATGATGGAAACGGTGTAGACGACCCTTAGCAAGGGGTCAATTTAAGTCGTGTGGCTCGAGTTCTGTGACTGGTTCTGCGACTATTTTGAGACAAAAGAGGCAAATCGACAAGTAGGAGACACAAGTCTTCCTTTCACACCGGGCATCTGTGACTAAAGTAAGCCGCGTGAAAATTTAAAGTCATCAAGCGCGCAATCACATTAATTGCGATACTGTAACCAATCGCAGCAATGAGACCATAGTTAACCCCCAGCACAGTAATTATCACCGTTCTGGTTGAAGTTAAGGCGAGATTTGGGAACGAGGTTTTCAACAGGTTTGTTCTGTTTGCTCTTCCCATCAAGATCAAACCACGCCTTGCCAGTTATAGGTTGGAATGTGCTGGGCATGCATTTTCCGAATTGTTCAAGTTCGCTGGTAAAACGATGTACAGGAATGTTGTGATTTAATTTCCGGATTCGTTGTCCGGAGTGAAACACCTGTCCCGTACCTTTCTCTGTGTAAAAAATTAAATAACCAAAAACAGAACTGTTCCTCCCTTTAAAGGTATCCAAATGAATTGTAATGAGTACCATGTGCACTATAAAATGCGTTCCTGAAAAATTCTAAGCAACGATTTATTTACCCAAATTTGATTAGAAACCACTGCAGTTAGTAGTTCGGATGACAATGGTGAATACATGTTACATATTGGCCAATGTTGGCAACTATTCAAAGAAGTGTTTTGAAGGATCGAAATGTGAACACTGCCCCATTGGTATATGCCACCACCTTCTGCTGGGTTAGATAGGCTCTGTGACGAATTGGAGACTATCGACCATCGTTTCAGAAAAAAAATCCCTATTTTGCCGCCCCCCCCTCAAAATCTGGACACGCCATTCCTCTCTGGTCACGTTGTTCGTGTATTTACCCACACACAGGAAGCAATCATTACTGTGTCTGTCTTTGATACGTCTTTTGCTGTTTTCAGATCGATTTAATGAAACGCCACGCGCTACTGCCAATCATTTCAGAAACAAAAGGGCTTTAAATATGTGTTGTACGGTCGACCTCAGTTGGCAGCCCTCTCCGCTAATTCTATTCAGTTTGATGGCATCGTTCAGTCCTGGCTCGGACACAAAACGGTTGCAACCATTCCATTTGACTAATGAAATTCACATGAGTTTTACTTTGTCATAATTCTACCACTATTTTGTGCCAAGGATGCGACGACCAGCGATCTGTTCAATTCATCATTATGACTTAGCTGAATAACAAAATATCTGTCCACACAACAAATATATTACATGTATTCTGTGTTTTCTTACGAAGTACACGACACGGGCCTATAATGAACACGGGCATCTCTGCTTTTCAAACAGAAACATGTAATTTTGTGCCGCAAAACGCACTGTTGTTTCAAAGCGTACCGAAAGCAAATGAACCGCCGTCTGTATAATTATGTGTTTAAGATTTCAAAAAAGGGAAAGGAGGACATAGACAACCATTGTGCGCCACGTACGTGCCATTCCCTCCCCACAGTTACACCATTACAGCTTATGGTCTTGAAAAACTGCCTCAACCGTTTTCCGGAGACATGCCTACTTCATCGAACGAGGCATCTGGCCGTTTTTTGGGTCGATACCCCGCCGTACAGTCATACCCGCGGGGGCGCAGCTGCAAGTTCCAAGGCCATGCAGTAACCACTAGGGTTATGATTGGGTGTCGGAAATAGCACGTTTACATATTAATTGTCGCGTTCCAATTACCTTGTTGAGAAGGACCTGAGTGTGGCTATTTGATGAAGGATGGTGTCAAATCTGAAATGAATGTTTGGAAACTCGGTCTTGAGCTTTGATAAGGGTTCAAAACTATATAAAAAAATTCTTATGACGCATGCAACACCAAAAAAAAAAAAAAGAGAATACAAAAGTGAATGAACCAGTCCCGTATTTCAAAAAGGCAGGGTCTTTCGGGAACAAATCGCCCGCGTGAAGTGGTGTACGGCTGCGCTGATAGGGCAGACAATCGCACGCGCGTGCTCTTGTTCCCGAATTACCTCGGACGCGCTTGTTTGGGCATGCGCCGTTGGAAAATCGAACTGTCTCATTCGCACAGAGAACATAAAATGTAAAATGTAAAACGCTGCAGAACAAGAGAGTTAGTAGATCGATTGTCGCATTACTCCTCGAAATTATTTTCATCCATCCGTCTTCTTTGATGCGAGAACTGTTTAAAAGAAACAACACAAGCATACTGACCAACATTTTGAACACTATTTTGACAACCAAAGCCATTTCCAATACGTTTTTCATTACTTTGTGCAGGTGTATTGTGCCAAAAACTTCCAGTGTTCCAATTACATGCGAAATTATCCGCATCTATCGCAGGCTCCTTCACTCTGACACAGATCATTGTTTCAATAGTGAATGTCAAGGTCACACGCTAAAACACTAATGCTACGATGATTCGAAAGCGGTCGCTGAACCAGACTGACAACATTAAACCGTCTTGAGAGAGGCATCTAAATTATTCAAAGCCAGGCTAGTACGGGGGACTTGCGTTAGCCTTGCGCCGACGTTTCCTGCTAGGTACATATTGGACGAGGAGAAACAAAAGAGTATTTAAAAAGGGACATTGCGTACATAAGTCTGCTGACAAGCCGGCTGCGTCTCTACTCAGCAGGGGCCTCAGTTACCGCGTGATTTCGATCGGTTCTTTCGTTGTCCGAGGATGCAATCGGAAGGAAGCGGATGAGATCAGCCAGGTGGTGCCCCGCTGCGTCCTCCGAGGCCGTCTGGGATGAAGGACAAAGAAAAACTAGACGATATGACAAAAGTGTCGAGACTGAAGTCCAAGAGGGCACAAACAGCAAAGCAAACAGTTGCGAAGCAGTAGCCTAAATGTAACAAAGCGCAAGGGGTAGGGCCTGTAGAGGATGTCCTCACCCCTGGGCCCCTCCCCAACCCCAAATGTGTGCACCTGCGGATGTGCTGAGAAATTGTTCGGCCCAATTACGCCACTGCTTCGAAACACCCTTCATCGGTAAACCCAGCGCAAGGGGCAATGTCATCATCACTTCCCTTTATTCTGACTCAGTCCGAAGCTTATCCCTCCAACGGCTCTCGCCTTTCTTATCCCAAAACAAAACACAACGCAGACTCCTCAATCCCCACTATCCGTTGTGCGCTTGTCACACAATTTCAGTCCGTGTACGCATCATTCTAGATTTTGGCTAAGGCCCCGACCGGCAGGACGCAGCATCTCCCTGCGGATTCTCAGGTGATTCACCCCCAGTCACCCCCCCCCCGACGAAACTGGTCCGTCTGAGTCACCGTCAGTTTGGCCTTGGCCGAATTCTGCTCGAGATCAGTTTCTGGGTGTTTATTGAACGCCCTGAAAATCTTTGCCCAGTTATTTTGCGCATTAATCACTCAAGTCGAGCGTGCAGATAATTCAGATGCAAACCCGCCCTAAGCTGAGATGCGGAAAATGTACGGCTCTCATTCTGTCCCGATTTTTGGAAAGTTTGCTCTTCGAAAGTTGACTCCAGATTTTGTTCATCTTAGATAGATTGGTTTGTCAAAGCATTTTCACGGGAAGCTCCAGATATCTGTATCACAATACGTTAAAAAGACTATATTCTAACAATTCAGCGCTGCTTGCAGTCAAGTCCTCTTTGAGTCCACCGAGCACACTGAAAATGAATCCAGTACAGTATGAATCACAACAGTGCACTGTCTCGAAAACTGGGCAGTGCGGTTTCGGTGTGGCTGTTGGTACTGAAAATGTAGGAAGCAAAGAAAACGATATCGAAGCTGATCTATGTTGCAAACGAATTCTGGCTCGAATCCTCATTCTTGCATGTTTTGTAACTGTGACCATCAGTCCGTTCGCCTAAACGTGCATTTAACTAATGCATCACATCAACCTTGAGAGGTTTTTTACTTTGGGATGGGTGAAAGAACTTGGTTGGATCTGTGTGCACTAACAGTAGCTAAAACGATTAAAAAATGAAATAAAATAAGGACAGTTGAGACACGGATGCCGTCACCATTCGAGAGCGCTGTCTGCCACGTCAAACAGACTTCGACGTCAACAAACGTGGTACGGAAAGACAACTACGTGAACACTGACACCGAAGACACTTCAGACATCAACAACAGACACAATGTTATCTCCTGTGACTTTTGGGCCGCGACGATCCTTATGTTACAGCTAACTTACATAAAGAAAGAGAGAAATTCTTTCCTGGAAGTCATTGGTAGTCAGTCAGTCAGCTCATCGACTTAATAGGCACAGCTTGAGACAAGCACAATATCTAACACTGTAAACGTCATGGTCGGATCAGCTCTGCCTCGCTTCGTCACAGCCACTGGTAACCTGGGCTGCCAGCAAACAAGGTCGTTCTGTGTTGTGAGAGCCCTCTCACGTCAAGACATCAACCCCTCCACCAAAGAGGACGATGGTCAAGGCCCTGATAGACGCAGAGTCCGATACCAAGGAAATCCTTAGTAGCATTTGATAATTTTCGCCTCCTCCCTTGTATTCTTGTGAAACAGAATCCCTCAATACTTGTTTCCTTCTGTCCGCAGCGAAGAACCGATGCCTAAAGAAAAACCCTCCACCAAGTGCTCGGGAGACTCTGGCGGTGCTTCGGAGGCCTCCGGGATCTCGACCTCGGAAGAGTCCGGTGGCTCTTCGGAAGAGTCTGGTGGATCATCCGAGGACTCTGGTGGCGATCCCCTAGCCGGTATGGACTCGGGCTGCGCGTCTGACAGCGACAGGGGTTCACCCACCTCGGCAGGTAGCGAAGCCGATAGCAGCTCGCTGGGAAGTGGCAGCAGTAAGTTGTTACCCTGGCAAACCCACACTTTGCCCTGTACAATGTAAAATGTGCATGTGTGAACATCACTTCAGTAGTTGAATTCCCTACCCATTATACAAAGATGCTTCCTGAAGTTCCCAATTATTCAGTGCCCACTTTATGTTGTAGGATGGAACCACTCTAACACGTAACGCGTAAGTGCCTTTTGGCATTCCAGACGTATACCATAGCACGTATTAACTTGGTCGTTTTAAGGACATAAGAAGCGCACGAACCTTCTCGAGAGACTCATATCACTGCAGAATTTTTTTTCCAAATCTGGTCACCGAATTTGCCTGAACAACCTTATTGCTTCAAACCATGCCACCAATAAGCGTTTCGCTTTCTGTCTGGTATCCGCCATTTATCATCTATTATTTCATTCTGTAGTAACATTGTTTCTTTATGTTCTAATTATGATGTATGGAAATGAACCAAACCAAACCAAAGTTCTTTAGTGAACCAATTCAGAAGGATGATTTGCCATGGTGCTGCTGCAAACATATTGCGTCTTCCATATCTGCGCATTTGGTCTGTTCTGCATCACGTTTGAGACTCTTTCACAAGTTAACTCCCTTTAATCACTGTGCGGGTGCAGCTCTACTTATACAGTAGCCAGTCCAGTCATACACTCTGGATGTTTTAGAGAAATACTTCATCCTGACAAGCCATATTCCAAAAGTTTTAAAAGATCGATCTGTAAATTTGTCTATTGCTAATGTGTTCTCAAGACAGGGTCGAGGTAAAACTATATCTATGAAACGCAACGTCGTGTGTTTCCTAGTCGGTTTGGTAAGACTTAAACCAGCTGATGTCAGAAATATTTCCATCTGTATGTAGTATCTGACGAAGAATCGGCCTGGCAGGAAGAGGCCAATAACAACAATAACAACAACACTAACAACAACAACACCGATGGCAATTGCGCAAACTCAACACTGACTGGAGGACTGAACGACGCTGATTGGCTGATCAAATTGACTCAGGTGCAGAAGCACCTGCTGGAGACTGAGGTCGAGAAGGGCCAAGCGGAGGGCAAGTTCAAGCAGGTAAGGGTTAGATGGTGACAATTTGGGGATTTTGGTTTCTACGATCAGCAGGGGAAAATCGTTTGGAATGTGATCCTAAAGAACTTCTGAACCAAACTTTTCTACATTGTACAGGAAGGGATTTTTTTCTTCGTGAAGTTCGCGTTACTCGCTAGTCAGAGAACCATTAAAAAAACACTCTACATTGGAGTTAGAAATTTGCAGCAGAGACAGAATGAGATACAGAACTCGGTATACCGTTGACCCAAGCCATGAGCGAAAAAAGAGGCAAGATTCATTGCCATTGAGGTATTCTATGCACAAATTACTGTGGAGGTTTAGACGTGTCCCCAGTGATCCCCGAAAAGGTATTTTTTCTGAGGTTCAAACGTACTTTAAAAAACGTTCACACGACAAAAAAAATGAAAGGTGCTCCCACAGTATAGGTGTGGTATGCTCTCAATTCAAAATTCCAATCTGAACCATTTCCTTTGTTTTTGTCTCTTAGCTAATTGAGCTCCCGCTTTTCTGTCTCAAGTCTCAAAGACCCCCCCTACGTAGATTTCCCAGAATCAGTAGCTTTGCTGTCGAAATCAAAGCCCACAGGTTGAATTATTTTTATACGCAAAACACAGCATCAAAGTCTACTTCTGGGACACAAGTCGCTGTCTGTGTTTTTTTCTGCTTGAAAAATTACGCCACTGAGCATGAAGGCATTTCGACTACTTAAGAGCAAAGAAATGCCTGACCACATTGTGCATGTCCTATAAACCGAATAGTGGAAAGAGGCTCTCGTCAGTCTAGGGAAGGATCCAGATTTTATTACTGGGGATCACTCCTCTAATGGGGCTTTTTACACACCTGTTAATCTTCCTTCTAACTTTGCACCTCAAAAACCCGCTAATGCATGCCAAGTGTGAGTCTGAGATTCCATACTGACGTCAGCACTGCCCTGCAGAGTCTGGAACACACCCCCACTGCGCTTTTTTAAAGAAACGGTGCACCCCATCACGCGTGCACGCCGGCAGTGTGACTCACTGGATGAAGTCTAAAGCATGCCGGTTTCCTGACATCTCGTGAGATCCCACCTCTACCTTCCCTACTGCCTGTTGTTACATCGAGTGTTGACACCGAGTGTAGACGGTGGGAGCAGACGGCGTGTTATTGCAGTTTGGCAGGTGCACAGGGTTTGTCAATAGGCCACGGGTAACGATATAATGTTTAGGCGCACAGAGAGCAGACTTGTTAGAATTCCCCAGGAGAGAGCATCGTTTTTAGTCTGTTCTGAATAAAAACGTAGTGGATTTGAACGATGCTGATCGAAATAAGGTCGAAAAATACCCCAAGTTAATAATTTTACGTTATTTTGTATTAGAATTATTCATTCTTTTGTATATTACAGGACGCTCTGTTACCAGATTTGTATTTGGATGATTATCTGCATAATATGGTGGGCCATGAAATCGAAGTAGTTTTATTTTTATCAACGTGGCAAAAGCACAGATTTCCACTTTTTAGTGTCGTTGGATTTCCACGAGACTGGTAAAATATGCAAGTTCCAACTTTGAAAATCGACCCCAAGATCTCATACAACATGAATGGGCGTTTTACCCATTGGCAGCTAAACCTAGACGTTTGCATCTGGTATCGCGGGAAAATTTGAAATTCAGCCCCAACGCGGGGGTTATAACTATACCCAGTGCACAAAATGAATAACGAAAGCTGAATATAAAGGTGGGAATTGGTGTAATGAATGAGAGATTATCACAGAAGAGAGTTAAGTGAAGAATCTTTATTTCAGATGACATTTAAATAAAGCATTGATATTTCAGATCAAAATAAAAAAGAATTATTTCAGCCTGTTCAAATCCAAATTACACCTTATATTCCAGATTTGTACTTATTTTCATTGAACTTTTAAAAATGCTGCACGTACAGCAGCCTTCCAGTATATGCAAGAGCCCATTTTGCCATACAGCACGGGAAAAGCTCCGACAGAGATGCGTTCCCAGCCAAGCCAGCTACCAGATGTTCGTACTTTCCTTCATATTATTTCAATCGATGGTATTCCTGTGCTGGCACCGAATCGGGAAAGTGACGAAAAGGGGTGGTCATCGGCCATGGTTCTCGGCGCGGCCAAACACGGTTACTCGCCAGGCCAATTCGCCGGCTTAGTTTCCACTTGACTTGCAGGGAGCCAATTAGCCTCTTAAGCCGGTAGACCTCGGTTCGAGCGGCAGTCAATTACCGAAGGAAGTAGCTTTATGTGTTTGATTAGAGATATCAAAGGGACAAAATTACAATGAATTACATTTTCCACACTTTACGTGCATTTCTCGCTATCGTTCATTCAAATTTCCCGAAGATTTATTAAAATTGCTAGTACATTGACTAATAATTTATACTATCGCTATATTACTAATTTTAGTTTCAATCATGTAGGTTGCTAGGGCTTCGATTGCCCTTTAATTAAGCAAGAGTTTCCGCCTAGTTTGGGTAACATTGTGTAACTTAGGCTAAGAAGACATAAGTAGAGCAATAGCAGATTTGGAAATAATGTTAACATTGTAACTGAGTGCTTTTGTCACCTACTTTCACAATATCCATTTTGGCCTACCAATCCAGTTTCTGTTCTGATTGTGTTTTCATGTGGCTTCCGATTTTGCTCAAAAATTTCGCAATCCGTTTCGTTTTGCAATGCAACACTTTCCTTGTATACTGTACTGATTATTCGTGCAGAATTGTCCTATAAATGTTAAATGTTGCAACTTTACGTATATGGGTGCCAAAGACGGCTTTAGCTTCCTACATTTGTTCAACTTCTTCCCAGACATTCATCATAATATTTTACCAGAGTCAACCAAAAACTGAGGTAATTTTACACGAATTTCCGGTTGGCAATTCAAGGACAGTTTTTTCCAGCAATCACCGTTTTTGGTTCGTAACATGCATGGCGGCGCATGCATGACTTTATTCTGTTGTAATGTCTTTGGTATTCTGCGTTTTATCATATTAAAAAAAAACCGAAACTGGGAAAAACTGACCGACCGGCAACAGACGGGATCGATGTACCGTAGCGTGGCCGCTAGAAGCAGACCAGTGCAGAATTGTTCCTTGTGGTATACTAGCCTAGCTGGCACTAGCTCTGCAATCGAATCCATCTCTCGTGTTATTTCCAAAAGTATTGAAACTCCATTCAATCACCAATGATGAATCAAATTGACAGTCCGGTCTATTTGATTAAATTAGGTGTGGATTTTCACCCTGTCATCCAGGATTTCATCGATTATTGGACTTTCTTTCTTTAGAAATAATAATGGGAAATTCAGAAAAAGGTTAGCAACTTCGTATCCCCATATTACTTTGTAGTTTGAAAGACAGTAATATTTTGACATTTGGCTTCAGATTTATCTGAGACTTTATGGGTCCAAACCTGGACCAAGAGAGGGCGCAGTTTTCCCAACAACGGAGGTTCTATAGGTAGGAACTTCACTTCGCTGGTTTACGAATGACTGTGAAATGCACACGCTACCAACAAAATGAACACTCCCGACCAACATGGCTCTTTTCATGTGATGAGGGGTTCTTGTGCTCAAGGCGGTATTGTGGTAAAAAAAAACAGTTGACACAGCCATCCGTGCAATAAATAAAAGAAACTGGGGCGACTGAGGAGTTTCCTACCCAGATATACCTGCTTACAGCCATCGTTTAGTCTAAATAACGCATACTGTCGTTCAGCCGTACGTAACGGGTACCGGCGGGAACAGACTGGATCGTGAATTCATTCAAACATCACCGCCCGTTTAGGGGGCCTTGCACTCGGGCTGCGCCATGCACATTGCTCCAAGTGTGACTGCGCTAACTGGGTTATTGGATTGCGCGCCAGCCTGATCTTCCTGAGTTAATTTCCCCGTTAGATCTGGAAGGTTTTTTTAGATATGAATGACAGGACTTAGCCTAACTGAGGGGGTAGGGCAGTCATATTAAAGGGGCCGAAGCGGGAAGGTGGAACGACTATCTCGTGTTTGTGGTAAAAAGGGAAGAAAGTTGTATGCATGCCACACAGGGCTCACTTACATTACCTGCAATAGGCAGTATGTAGTGGGATTAACTATATTCAACACCCTTACAAAAAAATCGGCTCACAGGCCTCAACCAAAACTAGGATTCGACCAGAGTCAGTAAAACTTTCGTCTGAGTGATGTAATGATTAATAGAAAGGCGGATTGGAACATTTCATTCACTTCCTAGTAAAGAACAAAGTGACCAATTAAGACATGTTCTCGATAAACCAAGTAACATACTCTAAACGTTTAGGTCACGGCTAAGGAAAATCTCGAGCAATTTCATTGTCAGAAAACCGTTTTTCGGAAAAGGGGAGGGGTTGCAAGGGCTTCCCATTTTACGAAAGAGCAATGAAAATAAAACATCGCCTACCAATTTGCCCTTGCATATCCTAGCTTCAATTATGTCCAGCTAAATTTATATTACAGCAGATCGTGACATCCGGTCTCCTTAATGTATTTTTTATCTGGCATGAATAACGTTTTTCGGCGTTTACTCTATCAAATAATTATCTCTAAAAATACAAACTATCAAGCAGACCGAAAAGTTGGAATTGTTTGGCATTGCCTTCTGTATTGATTTTGCAGATCCGAGCCGATTTATTGCACGAGTTGAACACCAAACTGCAAGAGAACGAACAGTACAAGACGGAGATCCAGTCTCTGGAGACGGAGCGAGTGCGCTTGTCGGTCATCGAGTCCACGGTAGGAGAGGTCATCACGCTACTGCGCAAACTCCGTAGCCTGGTCAGTTCTCTGAATTTTTTTTTCAGAACTTCATGAACACAGCAGTTATTGGTTTAATATGTATCTCAATTAAAATGTCATTCTTGGAAGGACACGAACGATTACATCGACAACGATGAATGGATGTTGGATTACGCTACACACGGGCACTGGGCTACCTTTATCAGTGGTCTTAGTTTCTGTAAATATAAGTTAAATAAAACTGGGGGGAAATTACGAAACTGACAATTTGGTGGAGTAAAATAAGCAGGGCACTGTTGGGACACGTTTTGACATAGCGGTATGTTTAAAACGCGTTTCGCTAATGATATTGTGATGTTTCAGACTTTCGAGAGGAAATATTAAGAAATTCGGCCATGTTCATAAAATGACTCATAGATAACCATACACCACGACAGTGATAGAGATCAATGTTTTCTCTTTTTTATAGGTCAACCTTATTGGCCGTCATCGGCTAACACGCTGCGCGCTGCATACCTTTACACATCACCCTCCACTCAATAGGCCAAGAGCGCGAAATTAATTTACAATATCAAAACATAATCCAGCGGGATCCACTGGCAAATCCCTAGCCTGATTCTGCCCGTCCCGCAGAATAGACATGGTGATGGAATCGCTCGAGACGCGGGGGTCCAGGCTAATTTTCACTTCAAGCGTGGCGTACAATTTCAATCCGGGATCTCTTCGGCGATGCCCCAAAGCAAAGATGGCGAAGCGAGGGACTGTTCCGGCGATATTAATTTCATCAGCGGGGCTCGGTGTGGCTTTTACCCGGGGCTGTTTGGGCTTCTAACGGTGGAGAAATTAGGCCATCTCACACGGCTCGATTGCGAGACGGATTCTTGGGGTGTCAGAGAATGGCTCCTGGCTAAGTTAATAATAGAGTTGGAGAATTTATAAGAGTAAAATGCAAGAAAGCATCACATCAACTGTTTCTCTGTGTTTCTGAGAATCACTTCAAACGTACATGTACACGTAGACAGGAGTGAGAGTGAGTATAAAGAGTGAGTATATACAAAAACAAAACACCACGCCCCCCCCCAAAAAAACATCGAAAGCCTCAGAAGGCGATTTGAAATAGTGACCAGTGCATACACCTTTGGAACACTTAACCGTCTTGAACAATGTAGGACAAGTTATACATGATTGAAACCATAGCCAAAACGCCAACGTAGTTCTAATAAGCCCTGCTTCTTTGGTAAACTTTAATTTGAATACTTAAAAAAATACTCGTAAATAAACGCATGAGCAACAACATCAGAAGGGCGGCACAGAAATCATTCTAATCCAGTTGCTGCAATTTCTATTTATTTATTTATTTATTTTGAGTGTAAAAAGTCACACATTGCTTTCTCTGGCTTTTAAATATTTAGTCGTAAAATCGTTGAACGACATTTTCGGAAAAAAGCTTAAAAGCTAAAAAAAAATCTTTAATATTGTCAGGAAATCACTTTTGTAATATAAAAACATATTAGAAGAACAGGATTCGCAATACCAAGTGCTGTTCGTTTACCAGGCTCTCTACTTGTATTGTTCTTGTGTGGATTTCGGCCTTAGCCAACGCCAAGAGACACGCCCATACAGCTTCACAGGGCTGCCCTGCTAATTGATTGCTCGTTATGGCGCTCATCTCAGCCCGAGGGTTCTATCCAGAAATCTTCTTATCTGGAAAAAAAAGGGAGAGAAGAAAAATGAACAGCTCCCCGCATGAGGATCCGCGCTAAATGCTCGGTAAATATGCCGTCAAGGCATCTCGCAAACCCAGCGTTTCGGCCGTCATTTTGAACAGGAAAGAGGCTGCCTATGTTTTTCTTAGTAGTCTCTCCTCCAGCCATTGGCAAATAATTGATCACGTGAAACAACATATAGAGGATAGAATCTTTTCCCGAGGAGAGTTGTCTGTGAAAACAGGTTCGTGAAGTAACAAAGCACAAAGGAGACGTCAGTCGTTTATCTGAATTGAACTTGTTTAGGTCTGCATTGTAGTGCTGCACACAGTGAAAGGCATTTTCACGATGGGAATTGACATTTGAAAATTATCTGCCCTCAAAAACTTTCTCATGTGAGCAAGTCAATTCTTCATGAAAGGCTGACTTTGTAGGTTAATCTATCGTTAGTCAATATAAAGAAATGGGTTTACGACAAATTTAATATCTAAATTGTTACACAGCGCGAGATACATAAATTAAATATCAATTAAAATAATATCAATGAGAAAATTCAGGTGCAAACACAAGGCATGTATTAAGCCTAGTTTCCCTCCTCCATGGCCGTCCTAAAAAGTTAAACAGCAACTAATTTTTGTCTTGTTAAGGCTTTTTTCCCAGTAATTGAACACTGTACTGACGGATTTGAAGACCACCAGGGTGCTGGCTGCCCCTCGGGACTGACAGACAGCCAGATTGCTATATATACAGTGAGCTATAGGGAACCAAACAGCCTGACAGTACAGACGACTAACATGCCAGACAGACCCAAACAATGACAGAGGGGTATGCCACCCACCGTCTAATGAGATAAGTGCTGGGTCGAAAGCTTTCACAACCAACTTCGCCAACGGCTCTGTAATCCACCACAAAATCAGTCCAAATCGGCTAACTTTATAAGGAATAGAAAAAATTGTGTGGTGGCAAACAAGAATTACTGAGGAAAAAAGCGACAAACGCCGCAAAATCGAGGATCATCCAAGCGGAATAAATGACCAAACACAATCAAGCCGATATCTAGAAACTGCCGAGCATACAAACTCATGGGAAATTAGAGAATGAGTCATATTTCAATTGGATAATTGTCTGTATTGTAGAGTGCAAGGCTTGTTTGTTTAATTCTTTGATGCGACAACACCAGAAGCCTTTTCAGGGGTGGGCGGTAATTTTGCAAGGCGCGGGCGATATAACGACAAGAAGGCAAACCAGGAAATCCGTTCTGAAGGGGTGAAACTATACAATGACTTATCTTTTTATACCACTCGGTTTTCATTTTCAAAGTCAGACACTGACGAGATTCAATGTCATCAACCCTCTACACATATTCGAAGTGCAGGCTGTTCAGGGTTCCGATTGTTCACATATTGTCGGGTATTTTCGTAGAACTTTTGCGCAATTGGCCACATTACACTTTATCGATGTGCTCACGTCATCGAGGCTACAACTAGGCTCTATTTTAATTCGATTGAGGATACAATTTTCATAGAAATTTATCGTCTGTATATGGCAGCTGAATGATCCCAGCCAACTACATTTTCCTCACTTTTTGCATGAAACCAGACCTAATTTCATATCTTTGTGGATGACTACAGTTTCCTTTTATCTGCACTGTAAAAGAAATATCATTTCGGGAAACCATCAGCTTGCAAATAATTAATACACAATGCTGTACAAAGCTATCTTGGAATTCGTCCATTGCTTGAAATTATTTCAATTAAAATTCAAAAGCATATTCTCCAGCATGATGTCATCACTGTAAATATCTCCGTCCCCGACAAAAATTACTGGACATTTTCCCCAACACAATAAATTTTAGTATTTGCTGCAGGGTATATGCATGTGGACTGTCGATACGTCGCCCCTTATACAATTATTATTTCATTGTCTTACTTTGGCGCTTTTTATCGTTAAATAATCTTCATCACTTCACGCCGTAACGGATGTGCTGTGAGATGAACTGTTTTCATCGGTATTCGCCAAACTGTGTCAATATTTATATCCCGCATAAATATTTACAAAGCACTGATGGCGATATTTTCTCAAGTATACGACATTTCTCTCGGAGTTGTCGGTGAACGCCAGCCGACTCAAATCATCCGTAGTGGACCCGACGTGCAGTAGACTATCCAAATATAGCCATTCTCGACAAAACAGCAATACGAGAAGAGGGGAAATGCATCTAAAATTGCATTAATTACAGTCGAATCGACCTTAGAGCAGAGGGGCTGAAGGAGAGCCATTTACGTGTGAAATTCTCATCGAGTTAATTGCACCTCTTGCCCGCCTGGCCAGACGGGATTATGACACAGATCACCGGTGATTGGGTTCACGATTACGATCGCCAAAGGTTCAACTCCAATTTGGGATTATCAGTTTTTCCAGACAGAAGCATTTGATGTATAAAAAAATGCCTTTTATGGTCTGTTCAGAGGAACAAAAAAATTCGTTACAGTGATGATGCAAGAGGAACAAAAATGAGGAATCAGAGAGCTCGAAGTGATGGAGAAGTGGCCTAATACGCCAAGATAGTCTGAACAAGGGCTCTGAAATAATGCAGGTAATTGCTAAAAATGGGGTTCCGAGACGCTCAACATTTTGGGTAACAATTGCAACAAAAAATGAGATGTCTCTGCATTGGATTCTACTCGGCAATATTTGCGAATCTTACTGGTATTCACTTCAAATTTATTACAACAAAATTTAGAAATAAGCCCGACTCATTCCAACCCGATAAACGTGAGATGTTCAACATTTGGGGAAAAAAATTATGGCTCTCACTACGAAATTGTTGTGGGTCACGGACGTATAT